TTCCTGTGTCCCTCTGATCAATGTGACAACCATACCAGCCTCCCATACATCTCCAAATGCCAACTTCCCTGAAAGAGTCCAAAGCAGAAGTTTTCTTCTGCACAAAGGAGATCCGATAATAGATTAGTTTTCAAAAGCCCAAAGAGGGTTTGTGTCCACATGTGGAAAAATGTGATGACACTTATATTAAGAGAAAAAGCATAAGAGAGGATGTATGAGAATCGTAAGACTCATAAAAAAAATCATACACTTTTCCTAGATCTTAAATAAGAATCAAAGTTTAATCACATAACTTTATGGAAAATGTGGACTCATTTCTCTTTTATACTCTAGAACAGACTCAATGTGATCCACCATAAAATAACCCTAAGAAGTAAAAACGCTACATAATAAGAAACATACACAGGAGAATAAGTGGATTTTGTTTCCATGTTCCAAATTCCTCTGTGGTGTCAGGGTTTTAAGTTCCAATAAAATCCAACAAACAGTTATCGGGTGCTAAATGAGAAGGATGCTCTCTTGGTCCCCAGGAATGTAAAAAATGAATAAGACATGTTCTCTGATTTTGAGGATCACAGTTGTGCTTTGGAGACCAATTCTTAAATTACCAGGGTGTAAAATAGTAAACACCACCATGGAAGTATGTTTACATGCTACAGAAATCAGGTAAAGAGATAGCCGATTTCACCCAGGCTTAAGGGAGTGCATGGCGGGGGGAGGCAGAGATTGGCAGAGGCAGGGAAAGCCTCAGAAAGAAGGTATCTAGAAAGATAATGGGCATTTGCCAGGTAGTGAAGGAGTAGAGAATGGAATTCCTAGTAGAGAACAGCATATACAAAAAGTGTGAAAGAGAAGAGAACGGAGAAAGTCCAGTGTGGTGGGGCATTGGTAGAGGGATGGTAAAGGGGAATGCGGAAGATGAATCAGAGTCGGCAGCATCTAGAATGCCAGACTAAGAAGCTGGAGTTTACCTTATAGATAGAAAGGAAGCAATTGAGAGTTTAAAGAGGAAAGTAAATTATATGGGGACAAGAACTCTGATAGCAGTATGGGAGATGGGTAAATGTAGACAAACTTCAAGCAGGTATATTAAGAGAATTGGTCTTAAAACTTCACTTCTAAACACTCATTCATAAGATTTGGGAAACCAAGTTAATCCATAGCAAATTGAAGGCATATAATAACTTTGAGGATTTTCACCAGTGAAATTTTTAATGATTTCCCCTATTCCTGATATTTTGAAGCTCTAACCACTGTTCCTTTCTAAACAAGGAAACATGAAGGATTTCTTATACCAGGTCACCATGTTTGTATGATATATTCACACTGACATAGACACAGTTGATTCAGAGATTCACAGTAGGCACATCGACAGCCTGGGTGACTGGCTCTGGGTTCTGGCCAGTGATGGATACCTTTTATTGGATGAGGGCTATCTAACAATCAGATCCTCTCAAAGTGTTTAAGCACAAGACTTGTGGAAAACACAGTGACAAAAAGCCAAGATATACAGAGAAAAACTAACGGAAGCCATTAAGTAAGAAGAAACCAGGAGGTGCTGAGAAGAGTCAGAAGCAGCAGAAAAGAGAGATGCTAACACAACGAGTAACTGAGTCTTCTGGGTGGGGCAGCCAACATCCCGTCTGAGAGGCATCCCGAGCTTCCAGGACTGTTGTCCTACCATTATTGTCCTCTTCTCAGCAGGTATGTGATGTTCTAATGCGAAGAGCTAGCTGTGTAGCTGCTCAGATTTTTTTCATGCTCTTTCTTTAGCCTTTGTATCTCTTAAAAAAATAAATTCAAATCAACTGAGATAACTTGTATAATTCTCTGTTTTTTGCAAACTGAAGGAAACTTACTTATCTCACTCAGTGAGATGGTTGTATTTCTTCAGAGTCAATAGTAAAATTACTGTTTGCTGAGTGCTCATGTGCCAGGCACTGTGACAAGATCGTATGTGCATGATCTCACTTAAACCCCATGATCATTCTATGAGACAGATTCCTGTATTATCCCCATTTTACAGATGAGGAAAAGGTCTCATAAAGGCTAAATAACATGACCCCTTTTGCACAACTAATGAGTAGCAGAACTGGGGTCTGGATCCGGATCGTTGGGAATTTAAAACTGGCATTCTTGACAATTGTAGCTTTGTGGCAGAGATGGCCAGCTGCTCCCCTCAGATTATGCTCCACATTCCATAGAACACTGTTGTTGCTGGGAAGTCACAACCTAGCTAGTCACTGCTTTTCTTAACCTTCTTGCTTCCAAAGGAAGCCATGTGACTAATTTTTGCCAGTGAAATATGAGCTTTGGTTTTGTCACCTGTGGGCAGAGCACCTTCTCTATACTCTCCTCTTCTTCCAGCTGAATGCAGACAACGATGACAAGGCTCTAGAGAGCAACAGAGCCACAGTGTGGAAAAGCCCAGGTTCCTGAGTCATGATGTGGAAGGAAACTGCAGATCTGGAACACCTGTATTGTATTATTACGTGAGCAGAAAAGAAACTGAGATTTTGGGTCAATTTGTTTCCACAGTCTAATACAGCTATGCTGCTTCCCTTTCTTGCCTTGGGGGTTGAGAGCAAAACAATAAACTTTAAGCTCGAACCTCAGGTGCCTGGTAGGTCGCCCAATATTGTTAAAGGATGGCGGTAACTATCTCACACTCTACTATTTTCCCACACCAAGAGTAGCTCCATCTTTTTTATTCAGCATAGCAGAAAAACCAGAAGGTGTCATAAACACAGAGTATGTTTATAAACACATTGTTCTTATGCCTCCTCAAAATCCTTGAAAACTCAGGAAGAAAGGAACAACAGAGCTTTGTGCCTAGTAGCACCTCTCATCTGTTAGCGGCCTCAATTCTAGTTCAACTTATGTTTAGATGTCACTTCCTATTTTACACCTTCGCCTGCCAAATCACAGCCACCTTTGGTGTGAAATCCAGCACCTGTTTAATGGGCTTACAAGAGATGACACAGCTGTTTTCACTAGTAAGCAAAAGAGTAACACACCTGGGAAAAGGCAGCAGGACTGGAAAGGAGAGAGGCTAAGAATTTGGAGAGTTTACCTATAGTGTTATCCAGTTGTGGACTGTGTCACTGATGTAGCAACTGAGATCATTCCCACAGGGACCCTCGAGGGAGACATATGAAATATACCTTAGAGTTATCTACCTGGCAGATAGAAGAGGAAAGCATTTACCCATGAGCAAATGTCTCCTATTGGTCAAGGGTTGTCCTGTGGGATGTTAAGATCCTTGTACTTCCAGGTTGCACATTTGCGAGGTATCAATGATCAGTTACCAAAGAGGATACTTTAAGAGGAGGGGAGGATAAGAGGTGGGATAAGGAGCTCAGTGCTAGAAGATGCACATGGAATTGAATCCAGTAACTTCTAATGCTGAAGCACAATGTCATTGCTTACATGCCACTGCTCACCTGGCCTGGAGGAAAGAATGTAGGTCTGGGTGTTGGAGCATTGCCCCTAGTTCTAGAATAGCTGCTGCTGGCTACTTGACTTAGGCAAACCATTTACTATCTGGACCTCTGTTTCTTTACCTATAAAACAGGGATACTGGATGAATCCATTATTTCCTGAATTAAGTTCAAATTATGTATAGTAATGTTGCGGAATATTAATTAAGAAGCACAGCTGGAAAGGAAAGGTTTTGTGGTCAAATAAGATTGGTAAATGGAGCTAACAAAGTTATACAAATTTCTCCACTAACAGATATCTTGGTCTTTATAATGTATATTATACAACATCCTTTATTTGAGAAATAGCTCATAAGACTAGGTTGTTTTTATGCTAATATTTATTGAACACTTACTATTTACCAGGCGTCATGCCAAGAACTTCTCATGTATTATTTTGGTCATTCATTTTCTTCAAAAAAGTATTTGTTGAGCTTCTGCTATGTGTACCACATTGTTCATGGCTCTGGGGATACCTCCATGAACAAGACAAAGTCCCTCATTTTTTCCTGGGGCTAAGATAGAGAGAATACAGACAATAAATAGGTAAACAAATGCATAAACAAAAAAAACTGGCAAACATGACCTCATCTCATTCTCACAACTAGTGAGTCAAGAACTATTTTTTATCATGCCTGTTTTACAAATAATGAGATTGAGTATTGGAGAGGGTAACTTATTTAAAACGATAGAGGAAAAATGCCAGAGCTAAGACTATATTTGCTTTTAAAAGTTTGCTATTAAATGTTGTTGACATCAGGTACAGAGAATTGGATTAATCAGTGTCCTGAGTTGATTACATACATTGTCATCGATCCACATTCAGCTCATGCCCATAACCACTATGGTCCCAACCACTTGGTGCTATTGTCTCTTCTACCATCCTGAAGGTCCATGCTTTGCAAAAC